GGCTCAAGAAAAGTGTTTCGAATGCACTATTTTCGGCCTCTGCCCCAAAAAGACCCCCGACACAGCAGGCAGGCGCCCGAGGACCCCCCAGGAGGCCCCACGAAAACACCCACAGGCCCAAAGAAAACATCCAGACAACCTCAAAATCTTCACATGACACCCCATAGGACCTCACTGGTGAACATGACCCTTCTCCTGGTTGACTTCCTGCGCGTGCGTCCACCATACCACACGCCTGCAATCACGGCATCAAGTGTGTTCAAACCTCCTTATCGCCCGCCTCCTCCTGCTCCACCCCTGGTCCTCCTCCTCCTCCTCCTCCTCCTCCTCCTCCTCCTCCTCCTCCCCTTCCTCCTCCTCTTCCTCCTACTCCTCCTCCCCCTCCTCCTCCTCCTCCTTCTCCTCCTCCTCTTTCTCCTCCTCCTCCTCCTCCTGCCCCTCCCGCCTGCTCCTCCTCCTCCTCCTCCTCCTCCTCCTCCCCCTCATCATCCTCATCATCATCATCATCCTCTTCCTCCTTTTCCTTGTCGTCGTTCTCATCCTCATCCTCGTCTTCGTCGTCGTGGTCGTCGTCGTCGTCCTCCTCCTCTTCCTCTTCCTCCTCAACCTCCTTCTCCTTCTCTCCCTCCTCCTCCTCCTCTTTTTCCTTTTTATTTCTCCTCCTCTTCCTCCTCCTTTTCCTCCTCTGCCTCCTCATCCGTCTCCCATTATTCTGTGTTTCACTCACCCGCGGCCTTAAAAACATGGTTGTCGCAGTCGCCAAGCATGTGTTGCACGATTGGCCCCATGTTCACGCTCTCGCGCGCGTCCAAATGAAGTTATACGTCGACGCTACACCGAATTCCAACGCATTACGAGAACCACGCAAAAACGGCCCAAACGTCGCGTCCGACCGCCATTGTGGCCCTGGCGATCGCCCCCTTTGCGTGGCGATCGCGACATTGGTTGGCCCCTTTCCCACGCATGGTCAACCAACACATTTGCAACCCATGTCGTCATGTACGATATTGTAGACCAGGGCTCGCCCTAGCGATGCGCACGGGCTCCTCATTTCCTTCTGGGAGTCGGCGGAATGGCGTGACCCGCTTGACTCAAGGAGAGGCGGATGATAGGGCATATACGAATTAAAGCATGCGAGCTGCAAGGGCACAGCTTGCAGAGGAGTTCGGCCTCATCGAAACGCTACTGCGGCTTCAACTGCAGGAGCACGCGCTCTCCGTGCCGCGCGGCCCAGAAGCAGAGCTGGCAACATCTGCTTGCCAAGCCCCCTTTATTGAGCCCGCTCCTGCCCGAAGATTCCTCAGCGCGTCGGCGCCTGTGGCTCGCGTGGGCGCGTGCACCTCGGAAGCCGATGACCCACCCGTGGAAGGGGGGCTCAGAGGAAGCCGGGGCTGGCAAGCGCCTTGTCAGGGGTCTCTTCTTGTCCTGGGAGTCCTGGGGCACGGGGGGGCAGACGCGAACGACGCGGTGCACCAGCCACGCCGGCCTGCTTGCTGGCCCGAGCCGTCGGCGGCGAGCTCGACGGCCTCGACTTCGGGGCGCGCGCGGGCAACCGCCAGCTCCACCTCGACGCCCGCCGCCCGCCCAGCGGAGCTGGAGACGCGCGCCCCAAGTCCTGGATCGAGCGGCGGCAGGTCCGCGCCCGCGGGCCCGAGGCGCCCCTGGAGGGGGAAGGGGCGCTCGCGCTCGCAGCCCGCGCCCCGCTGGGCGAGGCTCGCCGGCACCGCGCCCTGGCGAGCGCAGGTGCACAGGCGCTGGTGGTGGTGTCCGTCTGGCTGCAGTCGCGCCCCCCGTCGATCTCGCGGCCGCGAGACCGCGCCCGCTCGCGGGGCCAGCGACCGCTGCGCGCCGTGCCCTTGACCACGGGCGCAGGCGGTCCTGGGCCGCGCTGGCGGCCGCGGCATGTTGGGCGAGATTATGGCGCCCAGCGGCCGCTGCTACTTCTCCGCCGGCGCGAGCTCGCTCTGCCTCTCGAGCGCCGCCGCCCAGCGCGCCTCGAGGACGCCGGGGGCCAGCTGCTCCAGCGGGATGGCGTCGCCGCGGCGGCCTCGGCACGCGGCGGGCGACTCCGCCCTCCGCGCGGCGCGCGCGCCGCGGCGCCCGCCCCAGCGGCCCGCGAAAGGCGCGCCGCGGGAGGTCGGGGAGCCCGCGCCCGCCAGGCGCCTGCTACCACCAGGCGCGGAGCGTGCCCGCGGAGACAGGCGCGATGTCGGCGCGATGCGCGACTGTCGCCCAGACCATCCGCGGCCGCTGAGGCGCGGGCGCCGCGGCCAGCGCGGCGCCAGATTGGCGCCCTGCTCGGAGCCGCAGCCCAGTTGACATGCTCGCCGCGGTCCCCGCGCAGGTCGGCGAGCTCGACGTCGGCCGCTCGCGAAGGTCTCAACGCCGAAGGTCAGGCCAGGCTTCAGCCCAACGCGACATGCTTTGCCTGTGCGAGCCTGGCGCTACACAGGGATCGCTTTCACTTGCCTGGCCATCGTTTTCTGCCGGGGCTTGAGGCGTCGGAAGCGACCCATCTGCTAGGCGCGGACGTGGGCGGAGCTTCTGGATCGTTCTGTATCAAGAGCCGCGCCCAAATCGTGTCTTTCGCTTCGCCGCCCCCAGATTTGCCTCCAGTCGCCTTGCAACCACCTCGGCAATAACGCTCGCGCTGCCGACGGCCGCTGTTGCTAGTTGCGCCAAGTCGGCGCGCCGCATGCTGGGCCCCTTGCCTGCAGTCTCGCCTGCCTGCGTCGCTGGCTCCTCCGAGCTGCCTTCGGCGTGAATACTGCTGTCGCCATAGTGGCCAGAGAGGCGGCGACGCGAACGCAAAGCCGCATAGCGGTCGCGCCCCACGGCAGCCCGCGCCTCGATGCCGACCGGCATGCCCCCCCCCCCCCCCCCCCCCCCCCGCAGAGAATCCGAAACGACCGCGGCGCGGCCGCGTTCCGCCGCGCCGAAGAAGACGGGAGTATCCTTGGCGCGCGCAAAGTGTCGAGCAGCAGCTCGGCGAGTGGCAGCGGCGCCGCATGCCTCGCAATTGTCGTTCTGACCCCAGCCAGCACGGCGGCATCACGCCACGTTGTTCCCCTTGCACTGAAAGATCGCACCCCAGAAATTATTTCGAGCACCCAGAGAAATATCGAAACAATGTCGAACGAGCATCGCTAGAAAAGGTTGGAACATCATGAATCCCACGATCAATAAATAAACAACCATGAATTAAACGGCGCCCATCGTGAGCACGTGCTCGGGCTTTGGCCGCAACCTCCCGCGCGCTCCGTCGCTGACCTTCTCGCTGCAGCTCCCCAGGTGGACGCGGGAATGGAGATGCTGCGCCATGGCCTCTGCCGCGCTCCGCGCGTCGCCGCGCGCGGCGCGATGGGCCCGCGCCCCCCTTGTGCATCGCGGGGCACCCGCACCGGGGCCCAGACCAACTGCTTCGGCAGCGCGCCGATGGACTCACGCGCCCCCCATAGCGCCCAAAAGACGCCCGGCGCCTCATCGGGAAGCTGCGCCGGACGACGCGAATGCAGCCCGTCCAGGCTGCTCGACGTGGTCTGGGGAAAGGTCCGCGCCGCGCCACGGATCTGCCGCGGCGTCGCTCCGGGGAAGACGGAGCGATCGGGGGCCTGCGCTGGCGGGGCCCGATCCGCGGCACGCCAGTCGCGACGACGGCAAGTCACCAGGCGCCCTGACCACGGCGCGCGCCTGCGCGTCGCTGCACGCCGCGGCGCGGCGCCTGCCGCACGCGCCTCCGAAGCATGCCAGTCGGCGCTAGCCCCGCAGACGCTGCGCTTTATCCTCGTCGGCCGCCTGAGCAGCAGCCCGCGCGCCGCCATCGATCTCCCCCAACAACCCTCGAGCCTGACCTGCCGAGGAACTGCCCGCCGTCGTGGCGCGCGCCCGCTGCGCGAGAGCGTCGGGCCCGAGGTGGACCCCCACGCTCGCGCGCTGGCACGCGCGGAAGCTCAGCTTGAGGCCGCACTGCGCAGGACTGTTCTCCCCAGGGAAACGTTGGAATACAAACAACCATTTGAACGTGTTCCAACCTTCAGTAGGAACATGAATGCCTCCGCGCCATTTCCCTCGTACGTGACAAAGATCCACCTGGGCCGAACGACTCGCGCGAAGCCCCCGGCGCTCTCCAGCGCTCCCCCCGCCGCCCGCGCGACGCCGACCCCGCACCAGCGCGAGTGGGCCCCTGGCAGCGTCAGCACCCGCCTCCTTTGACATTGCGACGGCCTGCTGCGCAAGCGATCCTCGCAACTCGTATCCTCATCAGGCAGGCAAGTGCCTGCCACTGTGGCTGACCCCAGCTTGGGTGCCGCCGCGCATGCGAAGATTTTGATACCCCCCAGTCGCAGCCGTCCGGCGGGCGACGGGGAAACGGGGTTTCGCAGCCTACGCTATGTCGGCATCGTCGCGCTGGAACAACCGCAGCGCTGCAGCAGAGAGGCCGTGGAAGTCGATGGCGTTGCATGTTGATGTCGCGCGGGAGGCGCAATGGCCGTTGGTGCTGCCATCGTGAGCAAAGCCGCCGTTAGGGGTAGCGCCACCTCCACCGTCGCCTCGCCGTTCCATCCGCAGCCGAAAATGCCAGGTGACGCCTTGCCCGCCAGCGCCGGGCCCGCGGCGCCCAGGGTGGCGGCACTCCTGACTGTCATGCCCTCCGAGCAGGTGGATGCACAGGTGGATCGCATACATGGGCGGCCATGTTGGTGCATCCACCCTTACATGCAGCGCGCGCCGCGGCCCCTCCCTCAAGCCCTCTACCCCTAGCCCTGGACGGGGCGCCCCGCGGCCAATTGGTGCGTCCCAGAGTGCCTCGGCGAGGAGGCACAGTCATTGGTTTCATGCAGGCGTTCGTCAAAATTTGGCCTCCGTGGGGGGCGTCGTTTGCTACCCCACCCCCTTCTGTTATCGATCTCCTCGAAGAAGGCCCCAAGATCACCCCCGACGCTCCCAAGAGTGCCCAAAGAAGGCTCCAAGAGGCGCCCAAGAGGCCGCGAGACGCCCCGTGAGACCCCCGAGAGGCTTAACAAGGCTCTCCCGAGGCACCCAAGACGCTCTAAGATGGCCCCAAAACCGCAAAGAGGCCCACAAGACGCTGAAAGAGGGCCCCACGAAGCTTTTGAGAGACATCCGAAAAGATGCTGAAAAGCATCCAAGAAGCCTCTGACCTTTCTGCTCGCCCTCCTCCTCCCGCTTATGCTTCCTTACCCCTCTTCTCTCCTCCCCCTCCCCCTCCACCGTCTCCTCCAATTCCTCCTCCATCCTCCCCCTCTTGGATTATGACGGCTACTGCATGTTCCTCAACATTCCTGATCTAAGCAGCTCGCATGGGCATCATTTCTGGATGGGCTGGTGGGTATGCGCGCAGCGGCTAGAACAACAAACTGCCAACATCATCACCTATGGGTCCTTCCGTGCGGGCGACTCCAAACTCCTATATCATTACCGCCTTCAGATGGCGCCTAAGCCAGATACCCATGACGACGACGGCCGTCATGGCCACATTAGCGAACAAAAAGAAGACCTGTCCTGGGCTCATGAGCGGCTCGAAGAGCTCCCAATGCAAGAATGTGCCCTGGAGACAACTTCTCTGCTGCTCTATCGGACCAGCCGTTCCAGAGACTGTAGCAGGTGAGGCGGACCCACGGCGCAGCATGCGAGCCCCGATCCCAACAACAGACACCGCGGACAAACGCGATCTGCGCACAAAGCCTGGAACTGCTGCACGAGTCGGGCCCGCGGGAACGCGAAACAAGCTTGTCCGTCCGCCTTGTGTGTCGCATCAACGAGAGGGAGAGAGATCGGCGGTGGACAAACCTCCCTTTAGTAAACCACGCTTTTAATGAAAACGGCCTGGGAATGAAACCGACGGACCTGGACCCGCAAAAATGACGGCCGCGACGCCCTCTCGCTAATCTACGTGTCAGGGTAGGAGGTCAATCAACCTCCGAAGAAAGAGAGAGAGAGAGAGAGAGCGAGAGAAAGAGAGAGAGAGAGAGAAAACGAAAAAAGAGAAATAGAGAGAGAGAGAGAGCGCGCGGAAAGGCTATGCGGCATGGTGCCGCGCTGGAGGCACTGGCAGGCAAGACTGCGCGCGCAACCAAGCAGCTGGCTTTGAGTCGGGGAGACGTGAAGACTTGGGTTCGGGGGACTCGGGCTGGCCTGACAGGGGCCATCAGGAATATAACGAGACCAATCTCTGAAATTTGACGAGAGTTCCCGCTGCAGAGATGCCACGAAAGCTGGACCGTCAGAATCCAAGGCGGGCTCGTCAAAAAGCAGGGGGCGAGCCCGAGTTCTGGCGCACATCAAGCCTCACGTTTCCCCGATCAAGAGAAGTGCGGCGTCCTGCAACAAGCTCGCGAATAACCTGGACGCGATCTCGTGCGTGAGGAGCACCATCGCGAACTGGCTGCTCAAGTCGCTCGTCGCCTGTTCCTTCGAGATCCCCTCGGACGCCGCGACCAGAGCACTGGTGCTGGCAAAGAAGGTGCCCTGCTGAGGGGCAACGCTACATTCAACCCTTACAATGGGGACGCACGATAAGGATGCAAGGGCCTGGGAAGGCCATGCCGACACTCTGCGAGCGGGGCGCGGTCAGTGAGAGCGGCCGAGGATGGGCCGAAGGGGAAAGACGCAAGGACAACCTTAGAAAATCGCTCGTCCTTACTATGCGGGTGAACCGTCGAAAGGACCCGCTCGAGGGGGGGGGGGAAGCATCGAGCTCGAATGAGCGATACGTGCATCGTCGATGGTTCGGCGATCGGCGCCCGATAACGAAAACCTCACGTTCCTGGGCGGGGTGGGCTTTCGGGTCGCCATCAGCGCTCGATTGGCGGGCTCCGGAAACCCTGAACCCAAGTTGTCATATCTTGGGAATTCGACTTTTGTCTCCGCAGGCTTCCGCCGAGCTTCCGCCGGCGGAGACGCCGCTGTTTTGCTTCCGCCGCCGTTCGCCGAAGAGACGACAACTCCTATCCTCGAAGGCGAGGACCTTCTCGGAAGGCTGCGATTGGCGATTGCCTACAGTAGGGGACCGACAACAAGGACCCTTGCACAAGAAACCCAACCCTGAAACCCCAGGACGTCCATAGGTTTTTGCAGTGGGAACGTGGCGCTTTCCATCGCAAAACCATCGAAACCCAAGAAACCCCGGGCACCCTGGAGGCAAGCAGGGTGTTGCTTGGCAGAGGCCTCCACGGCATCCCCCCCGTAGCGTTGCCCCTGGCCTGCGCGGTCCAGAGCACGCCCGACCCGCCGCCACACAGTGTCGCACCTGTGCGTCGCGCGGTGGGGTATGCTCTTCACGCTGCTGCGCCACCGCTCCCTTGCAGCTGCCATCCCTCGCCGTCGACACAGAAGTCATGAAGGCAATGACGAGGCAGAGGAGGGCAGGGAAGACACAGAAGGGGGGCGGAGGAGGCGGCGGAGGTGGTAGTGGGGCTCTGCCCCAGGTGGCGCGGTCTTCAAGAAAACCGTCTGTGTGTCGCACCTTCGTTCGACAAGGGTTCTGCATGCACATCTGTTCCTCGTGTCGAAGCATGGCCACGTGGCCGTGGACAACAACGTGGGCCCCCTCGCCGATCGTTTGATGAGGCAGGAGATGACAAGAAGGAAAAGGAAGGATGAACGGAGCGGTGGGGGAAACGGGGGAGATGAATCAGAAACTAATGCGTTGGCAGAGCGGTGGGGGAAAACGAGGGGGCGACCAGAACACTCCTGCAGAAAACGCGATGAGGGACGACACTGATATCGAACGCGTTGCAAGAGGTTCGGGTAACACATGCAATTTGATTCCCACGATATCGGCGCCGAAGACGTATAACGTCCACTGCTCGCGGCTGCCAGGGTTCTGGAATACAGCAATCGCGAACATCATGACCTCGGCAGAAGCGGGCCAACCCAGAAAACAAATATGGCTTCCGCATGCCGTGATACCACAACAGCCCATTCCAATGTTTTGCCGTCTATCCCGCCCTCCATATCGACTCGCCAACGTTGGAGATACCTTGCAAACATCAGCTTCTCTTCCTCCTCCTGCTGTTCCTCTTCCTCCTCTTCTCCCACCCAGCCCGCCTCCCCCTCTCCCTCCCCCTCCTCCTCTTCCTCCTCCTCCTCGCCCTCCTCCTCCTCCACTTGTAGGTTTACGTGTGTGTACACTATTTCGGTCGTGTTCTTCCACAAACGTCGGCCACCTACACAATCTAAGTCGCAGGCGCCCAGAATTAACCGCTGCTGAATACAGACCTGGTATGTGAAGCCAAATTGGACTCCAAGGTGAACCAGTCCACATGCCCTGCGGTGAAAGTGCGAGCGCAGCCATGTGACGAATTTTGAAGACCAGCTTTCGCTGTTCCTGGTCTTGCGTAGGTCCCACATCTCGTTTCCTGATTCCTTGATTCTTCCTGGAGGGTCCCAACATACGCAATTCAGTATCGGATTCGTGCAAACATCAAGTTGTGTCTAATCTGCCCGTCTCTTGAACCAGTTTCTGGGTCGGGTAGTCGCTCGCAACAAGTTGTGTCTGAAGCTGTCGGGGCAATCGGCACGTACGTCGTGAGAAAGTGTACGGGCAAATCCCTCCCTAGCCCTGGCACACGTGCGCACGAGGTCTGTCTGGAGAACGGGGTTCGAAAATTCCTCTCCTGGGGGGAATGGCCCCCTTATTTGGCAGATATGTGTCCCGGCCGCACGGCCCATCATGTAGCATCGCATGCTGTACAATAGCGGGCCCACCAGTCAGAAGAACTGGGTCGGCTCATGAAGTGGGAGGGAGTTGAAAGTAGATTGGGTCTTTCCCGCCACCTGAGGTGGATGAGGGAACAGTGAACGTCGCTCGACCCTCGCAACGGGGAGGCACGTAAAGAATGCGCTTGCTCCCGGGAATGCAAAAGCATTTACCTTCAACGGCCGAGGGGTCTGTTTCACAAGTAGTGCGTTGAGGCGTGGTCGGTTCTTCCCACGTTGCCACGCGCCTCTTGGCCCGCGTGTTTGGCCCATCTGTTCCCCTGCGGCGGGACCCGGGTGGAATGGCAGTTCGCGCGAAGCGCGGCCGCCCGCTCAGCTTGGCCAGCTGATACAATATGGCGAACACAGCAAAGCACCAGCCACTTCGGAAGCAAGCCAACGCCCTTGTCTTAGTCCCCCTCCTTTTCCTGACCCTCCTCTCCTCCTTTTCCTCCCTCTCCCCCTCCTCCTCCTCCTTCTCCTCCTCCTCCTCCTCCTCCTCCTCCTCCTCCTCCTCCTCCGCCGCCTCCTCCTCCTCCTCCTCCTCCTCCTCCTCCTCCTCCTCCTGTTCCCCCTCCTCCTCCTCCTCCTCCTCCTCCTCCTCCTCCTCCTCCTCCTCCTGCTGCTGCTCCCCCCCACATCCTCCTCTGCTCCCCCCCCCCGCCAGCCGGCGGAAAAAAACCAACGCCCCCTCGGAACCGTGCCGGTCCCCATCCTGGCCCTTGGGGGGTCTCTTCGTCGCCGCTGCTGAATCAGCAGTGGTGACGAAAAGTCACCCCAAGGCCAGGCAAGGGGAGAAGTCGCGTCGGGGCTAGGCCCGCGTTTGCGTCGACTGGCGGGCCCAGGCAAGCGATGGGGGAGTGCGAATCGGCGTTGCGCACCCGAGCAACATCGCAAACACCTCCCTCCAAAAAGCACTGAGGAGCCACCGCAACCCCAGTGGGATGCGCGCATCAGGAGAGACAAAACAGAGTACCACTACCACCACCCAGGGGAATGGCCGCTCCTCCCCCTCGAGCTGGTGGCACATCGCTCCAGGCACTCTCTGGAGGCATGCCCGAAACGAGGTGCCACCAGCTCGAGGGTGGAGGAGCGGCCTCTTCCCTGGCTGGTGGTAGTGGCACTTTTGTTTTTGCTGAGTGCCTCCATGCACCGACCGGTTCGGGCAGCTTTTCTTGGAGCGCGTGGGCCAGAACCGCGTCAGCGCAGCTGCCGACGGCACAGGGCGCGACTGCCACGCGCCCCGTCCAGGCCGCCTTTGGGCAGGCACGGGCCAGGCCGTAGCGGCCCAGGCACCCGTGGCGGCAAGCCGCCGCCCATGGCTTGGGACGCCGTCTCTGAGCGAGCGCTGCCTCGTGCCGACGACACGAGTGCGTGCCCGCGACCGGGCACGCAGGACACTGTGGGCGGGGCCTCACGAACGCCTGGAAACGCGCGCGGGCGCGCTCGCCGGCGCCCCCACACATCCACCACCTTGAGGGGGGGAGGAATACCGGCTTTGGCCCGATTGGAAACGATGCCGCCGCGGGGGCTTGAGCCAAAATGGCGACGGACCCCGTGCCCCCACGCTCACTTCCCCCCTCCTCAACCCACCATCGCCCCCCCCATCAACCTCGCCGCGATCCCGCCTCCGTCCCCGTTCACATATTCCTTCCCTCACCACCACCCCTGCTCTCCCCCCCAACACCGTCCGTTCACCATTCCCCCTCCCCGCTCCTGTGTCCTTGTTTTTGTTTCTTTGCTCCCGTTCCCTTTTCCTGCGCCCGCCAGCCCCTCCCTTTCCCTCACAAGATCTACGCGTCTCTGCACCGCTCCCCCCAAGATCCTCCGTCATGGCCCCCGTGTCCTTGCCGCCGTCTCCGCCCCTCCAAGCCCCCAAGAGCAAACGAAAACACAGCGTCAAAGAATTTAGGCGCGGTTTCCGCTCCTAGACGAAGTGGGCACCATTGCCTGCCGCATCAAACCTTGGGCCGATTCTATCGGTGGCTGGGACAATTCGGGCGAGGTCATGAGGCGACTTCCCATGGCCTGATATTTCGGCGGGCCGCTTTGTCTTATACATTCCGGAATTCTCGCCGTCCCGAAATCATATACACCACTTGGGTCTTGAACTTTTCTCCTAGAGTTTTCAAACTTTCCAGAAGTCCACCGTGGCCATGGAAAGTGGGCGACCGCATGCGGACGCCCCCGCCGAATGACTGAGAAGCACCGAGCACTGCGGCCTTCACAGCGCGCCCCTGCACGCTCTGGAACGGATTTCTCCTACTCCTAGCCCTGTCCGATCCCCCCCGTCGCCGAGGGCGGTGCGAAGCTGATGCTGCCGCCCATCGCCAACAGCAGCCCGCCCTTCGCGCCCACGACGCCCACCACCGGTGCGCCGAGGCCACCGGCTCCCCGGGAGATGGAGCAGGAGGCGAGCACTGCCCACATTTGCTCCTCCTCCTCCACCTCCTCCTCCTCCCTTTCCTCCTCCTCCTCCTCCGCCTCCTCCTCCTCCTCGGCCTACTCTTCCTCCTCCTCCTCCTCCTCGTCCTCCTCCTCCTCCTACTCCTCCTCCTCCTCTTCCTCCTCCTCCGCATACGCGTCCGCATCCGCGTCCGCCTTCGCCTCCTTTCCTATTCCTTTTCCTCCTCCTCCTCCTTCCACTCCTTCTCCTCGTCCTCCTCCTGCTCCTCATCGGCCCCCTCCTCCACCTCCACCTCCACCTCCACCTCCGCCTCCGCCTCCGCCTCCGCCTCCTCCTCCCCCTTCGCCTCCTCGTCCGCCTCCTCGTCCTTTTCCGCCTCCTCCTCCTCCTCCTCCTCCACCTCCTCCTGTTTCCTTTTTTACTACCAGCACTTGTTCGGGAGGCGAAGGAGGGGAGCTGAGGGGAATGGAGGCGCGACGAGAGCGGACAGCAGTGCAGAGATGAAGGCAACTTTTCCGCTTCTTCTGCTTCATTCAATGCCTCATTACGGCTTCGGTTACGTGTTCGACACTGAGCAATTGTTACACATCGGTCGTGGGCCGTCTTCGGCGGTCTTCGGTGGTCTTCGGACGCTCGTCGGCGGTCTTCGGCGGTCTTCTGACTCGGCGGCGAGCCCAGGGGGGAAGTGAGAGGGGGCAGGCCTTCTCAAAGGCGGAGGGGCCTCTCAAAGCCTTCGCGACTTCTGATGAGTTTTCTGCGTCTTTGGGGAAGGCTTAGAAACTGCTCATAAGGCCCGAGGCCTTCCCCATCTTCTGAGAAGGCCCGCCCCCTCTCATTTCCCCCCGGGCTCACAGTCGACTGACGGTATTCGGCGACTTCCAACGGCCTTTGGTGGTTTCCAAAGGTTTTCGGCGAAAAAGCTGGATGGCTACGTTCAACAAATGGGTCCTTGATCGAACGCTTCACTTCGGTACCGTCGGGAAGGAAGTTGAGAGGAGAAACAGGAGGAGGGGGGAGGACCCAGGCTTTGATATCTTCGCGTCGTGAGGCATAATATTTGACAGTAAGTTGTTATCGCATGTTGTAACCGCGGAGGGTCTTTTGCTTGCCCCCCTCCCTCTTTCACTCGGCAGTGAATCGGACTCATACTAAAATCTTATCCTCGTCCTTCTCCTCCTCCTCCTCTTCTCCACGCTCCCTCTCCCTCTCCCCCTCCTCCTCCTCCTCCTCCTTCTCCTCCTGCACCTTCCCCTCCTCAATAAGGCCGCCGAAAAGTTAGTAACCCTCATCGGGAGGGTTCTAAAGACCCATCGCAGTTACTTGGGGGCGAGACGTGGTGGGGGGAGATCGAGGGTTGCAAGAAAGGGTCCCGAAAGTGCACGGATGGTGCACTTTCCCCCGCGCCCTGTGAATTGCCGTCCCTCCCCCAGAAAAAATAGAGGGGAGGAACACAAATAGAGGGAGGGGGCGAAAGCCGCAGGCTTTGATAATCTCGCGCCGTGCAGCAGCATTCACGGTGACAGGTTTGTGTTTTCTCGAATTTCTTCTACGGGAGGCGAGAAGTGTGGGGGGGGGGCCCTGCCCAAATTGAGGGGAGGAGGAACAGGAATACGGGGGGGGGGAAGGCGCAGGCTTCGATGTCCTCGCGTCGTGAAGCAGATTTCACGACGCCAGGTTTTTGTGGAATGGGGGGCGAGAAGTGGGGGTGAGATCGAGGGTTGCAGGCAAGGGTCCCATCAGAAGAGCCCCGAATGGCCTCCCCCATGGGGTCCGGGCAATGCACGTATGGTGCACCTTCCCCCGTCCCCCGTGACTTTTGCTGTCCCGCCCCCCAGATTGATGCAACGCCGATGTCATTCTAAGACGAAGCCAGGACGAGGATCACATCGGGTGAGGAGAAATCGAGAATCTCTGAGATCTGGCGGCTCTGCAGACGGTCTTCATCGCCGCGGCCTCCTCAGAGCGTTCTGCACTGCCTTGAGATCGCTTCGCAACGCTGTGGAACAGAGTTATCCTCGTCCTGGTCCCGTCCGATCTTCCTCCGTTTTCGGCCTCCAAGGGCCTCTGCTGGGCTCCGGGGCCACCAACACAAACAAATCGGAGTGGAATGCCGAGCCGGTTCACAGGAATGGGCCCAGGCCCCTGGGGGGGGGAGGAGGGCTTCGAGTAGTCGCTTGCGCGCCGGCAGAACTATACTACGGATGGCACCTTCAGCCTGCTCCGCACCCACCACTGGGGAGGAGGGGCAGACAGGAGGGAGAAGGGGGGGAAGGGGGAGGGAGGGAGGCGTGGGGGGAAGGACGCCGGTAGGTTGGTGCCCTTGGGGGGGTGGCTGGTTGGCAGGTTGGTCCCCTAGGTGGCAGGAGGGTGGGGAGGGGAGGCGGGATAGGGACCAGGGAAGAGGCGAGGGGAGGAGGAAACGGAGGAGGAGGAGGAGGAGGAGGAGGAAGAGAAGGACGAGGAAGAGGAGGAGAGGGGAGGGGAGAGCCCCGACAACCACGCCTCGCACTTCGAGGATCGGAGCTCTTGGGCGTCCTATCCTGGCCGATGTTTTAGGGGCTGGAGAGCGCCCTCGTCGTCGCGGCTGTGGATCCGCCTCAAAATTTTCTGGCCCAACCGCACCTCGGAACAAGTCCTGGGGTCAACCACTGCTCCCTGGGCCCGAGGACGAAGACGAGGAGAAGGAGGAGGAGGACGAGGAGGAGGAGGAGGATGGGGAAGGAGGGGGAGGGGGAGGAGGAGGAGGAGGAGGACGAGGAGGAGGAGGAGGAGGAGGAGAAGGAGGAGGAGGCGGAGGCGGAGGAGGAACCTGCAGTCGACCCGTATCATAAAGACGCACGACAAAGACGCAAGGGTCTTGGACGCCCACTTGGAAGCTCTTCGAGCGGGACGCGGCCAGCGAAAGTGGCCAAGGAGGGGCCGAGGAGGCAAGGATGCAAGGGTACCCTTCGGAATATTGCCCATCCTTCTGATGCGGACTGCGCTCGCGTTGTAGAAGTTATCACGACGAATGGTTCATGAACATTTTCGGCCTCGGGGGCCCCTTGCCGGCGGGCCCGGGGCCTTCTCAACAGCACGGCTCAGGATCAACGGCGGCCCCCGGAATGGGGTCCCGACCTCCTAGGGCGTGCGCGGGCGTTAGCAGAGACCTGCAGCTGACTTGTGTTGCGCGCCCAACGTCTTCTGAGCGCCACACTCCTGCATGAACAGCATACTCGTTCTGAACGTCAGACGTTGCCTGAGCGACGAGCTCATGGCTTAGGTTCCTGTGCCAGTTCGCTTATGTTTGCTTGGTTGCTTGCTTGCTTCCTTGATTCCTTGCCGAACCCTACCAGCCCTCTGGGCGTAGGTGGTTGAACGAGTGTTGTCTCCTCTCCGCCACAAATCCCTCTTTCCCCTGCTCGGGGGAGTGGCTTGTCGCTGCTCCTTGTTAATCTACACCCCCACCCCCACCCGACTGCGGGCCAACCCGGGACATGTCCCCCCCCGACCATCCCTGCTAAAGAAATATGATACCAGAGAAAAACCCCAACCAGAATTTGGGGGGGCTACGGGGCTTTAGGGCTTTAGGGCTATGGGGCCATAGGGCGATGTGGCCAGGGATATAGGGCTAGAAGCCTTTAGGGCTATGGGGCTATAGGGCTACAGGGCTATAGGGCTATAGGGCTAAGGGCTATGAGGCTATTCGGGCTATAGGGCTATATACGGCTATAGGGCTTTAGGGCTTTAGGACCATAGGGCTATAGGGCTATAGGGCGATAGGGCTATGGGGCTATTGGGCTATGGGTCTAATTATGGGGCTATTGGGCTATTGGGCTATAGGGCTATCGGAGGTGAGGGGGTGAGATCGAAGTGGAACGGCGAGCCCCCCACCGGGAAATCGGTTTCGGTTTCGTGTTCGTGCGTGCTGTGCGTGCGAGGCGAAGCTTCGTTCTCGCGGGTGGTCGAGAGGCAACGCGTGAAAAAAAAAATCAACCTCATCAAAAAAATCAGATCGCAGGCATCAGTGCTCGACCTGCGGCGGGGGGGGGCAATCGGACCACCGCCGAAAGGCTTTGGAACCGAGGCGCAATATTTAAGCCCCTTCTGAAGTAGCGCGCCCCTTGGCTCAGAGAAACATCATGCTACGCCTGCCCCCCGCGATGCACAAGCCGCCAAGGCCGTGTCCTTCGCCCAGAGCCCGTCTCTCAAGCTGGGCGCGGGCCTCCGACCCAAGAGCATCACGACGACAAACTCAAATCCTTTCTGACAACTCATGTCAGTCGCCGACTGGGCTGATCGGAGCTGTGCCCCGCTGCGCTGCGCATGGCAATACACGCGCACTCATGGAGCTCAGCTAGCACTCGCTGCATCACGCAGCGTGAGAGTCATGAGATAGTGCCAAGTGCCGCCAACAATCAATCCCACTGAGTGTCCCAGGAGGCCCCAAGGAAACCCAAGAACACCCAAAGAAAATTCCAAGAAAGCCCAAAGGGGACCCCTCTTGGATCTTCCCGACGAGCATTCCGGGCCCCAGAGGGCTCGTAGGGGGCCTCCAGGGAGCGCCAAGGTGGGCCCGAGAGGAGGCCAGGAGGACTCCGAGAAGGCTCAAAGAGGCCCCCCCATTCGGACTCAAGAGGGCCCAAAATCAAATCACACCGTGCGCCTTGATTTTGGGCCTGCGTGAAATTATATTGGGCCTCTCTTGGACTTTTTCGGGGGGCCTCTTGAAATCGCCCAGGGGCACTCCCATGCCGACTTGGGACCCCAAGAGATAAGTCAAGCGCCGAAGAGGCGGACCAGGCTTCAGCCAACGTAATGGGTTCCAGCGGGTGGCGCAAAGGGTCTTTTCAGCCCATGCCCATTAGCCACTTCCGCCACCAGCTGGACCCCGGGACAGCACAAGACGCAACGAACATGTAACGAATTTCGGTGCCACCACCTGCATCCAGAGTTCAGGACGCAACGAAATTGTCACGAATTTCGGTGCCCACACGGACCCCGAGACTCGTTTGCGAACTCTCTGCTGGAGCTCGAAATCGCACGGTGCGAGTTGATTTTGAGCGCTCTCGAGAATCCGTTGGGGGGCCTCTTGGAACCCTCTCCGCGCCCCAAAGCGGCCCCCAACAAGCTCGAAGAGGCCCCCAACAGGTCCCGAGGGGGCCCAAAAAGCCCTGGAGACGGCCAAAGAGCATTTAACAAATCCCAAGAGACTTCAAACTACCACCCAAGAGTGTTCCAGGAAGCTCCGAAAGGCATCCACGAGGCCTCCGTCCCTTCTGCTCGCCCTCCCCCTCATCATCCACCTATTCCTCCTGCCCCCTCCTTCCTCATCCATCCCTCACCCCTCCCCCTCTCAAACGATAACAAATGCTCCCCTCTTTGCTCCTGCACTCCGCTGAGTGCCTCAACTGCCTCAACTGCCCCGGGCATCGTTCCTTGATGGGCTGGCGGGGATACGCGAAGCGTCACCAACTCGAATCGTTACCCTGGGAACGTGCTCGGACACCACGCGGTGGCACGTGCGCGCGCGAACACGCGCGCACACAAGTGCAGACACATACGTGGAAACGTATGTTGCAGCCAAAGTGCACGCGCGCCAGTTTGGAAAGCTTCGGGGGCGCTGCCAATCGGACTGACGGGCAGCGCACTGCTGAACTGACTCCTGGCAGCGTGATATGCAGTACGACGGGGAGAGGGGCGACAACAATACTATTTTTTCTGTCAGCCATCCTCTCGAGGTCACGTCGAAACCCCCAATCGGCGCGGAAGCATCTGGCCCTGGCGCCCTGTGTCCTGCCTCTGTTGTGACCCCAGCCTCAAACTGCCGAGGCAAGGACACGGCGCACCCCCCACTGTCGAGAAGCGCAGCCCATGAAAACTCCGGGCAAGCTCGGGCGCCCCGTCGCGCGACGAGGCGCCCGTGGAAGAGACATCACGCCGGCGGCCCTTTCGGTCGCAACCCCCTGAACTCCCCCGCAGGAGCGTCGAGACGCTGCAACTACCACTGGGCTGCTTCCTATTCCTTCCCATGCAACTTCAACCCCGCCGAGCCCGCCGGAACCGCGCGCGCTGCGCAAACCACAAACCCGCCGCAACTGCGCCAACTTCACATGCAACGCGCAGCCGTCACCCCGCCAAAGGAACGCGGAACAGCCCGCTGCAGGTCGCCCTTTGCTTGGCACAGAAGTGCCCCCGCCTGCAGACGACCGCCCCTCGATCTATCTGCAAGCCGCCCTAACTGGGCAGCCTGGAGCCACCCGTCGCGCGACGCGCGGCCAAGCCCGCGGGGCGGGCCGCAACCCGCCCCTCACTTCCCCTTGCCCTTCTTCTTGCCAAAGAGGGCCAAGGCAGCATCCGTCGCGGTGTCCTTCTCGGCCTTCTTCCCCTCGGCCGCCTTCTTCGCCACCTTGGCCGGGGTGGCGTATGCGACGGGGACGATCGCGCCAGAGCTCTCGTCGACGTCCTTGATGATCGCCCTCGCCTCGTTCCTCAGAGGCTTGGGAATCAACCAAGGGAAGGTGCGGATCTGGACGACGTCCTCAGGGGCCACGGTGCCGAGCTGCAACTTGCCCTTGGCAAGGTCGATCTTCTCGCGCATGGCGTCCATGCCGTACTTGAACACTGCCGTCGAGGCCCCTGCGGAGGGCCCCCACCGCACGAAGTAGCCGAGCTGGGACACGACAGGGCCGAGAAAGTCGTCCTTCTGGGCGTCGCGCAAGTTGGGGGGCTGCTCCTCGACGATCTTCCCCAGCCAGCGCAGTACCGACTCCACTTTGTCCTGGGCGTCGGAGCACGCCATCTTGTATGTGTCCGTGTTCTTGAGGCAGGAAACAGACTGGACGGCCTCCTCCGGCAGGACATTGGCGTCCTTCGAAGCCAAGCACCCGAGCAGCTCCTCCTGCACGCGGCCGCCAGCCTGCGTAGCCGAGGTCGCCTTCAGAATGATAGCGAGCTCGATCTTGTAGAACGGGTCAGTCAAGACGAGGCCCTCGGCCATCCCCTCGGCCACCGCCTTCATCTGGTCACCAGACGTCGCCCCCTCGTCTTTGAACGCCTTCACCAAGGCTTTGCGCGCGGCCCTCGCAGGAGCCAGCGACTTGGCGCTGGGCTTCCCCTTCAGCTTGGAGTGGAAGCCAGCGGGGGCGATGAGGTGCTCGAAGGAGTACTGGGCCAAGTCATCGTTCTCAACGCCGAGCTCCCGCCTAGCACACTCGAAGGCGTGGCTCACCTCGTCCTGCCAGGATTCCACCTCAATAGGCAACTCCCCGCCGCGATATGCGAGGTTCACGGTGCGCTTCCGACTCAGATTCTCCAAGCCAGCGAGCGACTCGATCTGCCGCATTGTCACGCTTTTGCCAGAGTTGATCCACGCGTCTCCCAAGGTATCGGACTTCGTGAAGGTGGCGGTCATCTGCTCCGCGAGGATCTGCACAATCCTCGAGCTCACGACGTGGGTGAGAGCGAACCCGAAGAGGCCAAGGGCGGTCTGGCTAGTGTTGGTGGCCTGGACCAGATGCTCGGAGACGTTGGCCCAATCGTCCTGCTCGTTCATCAAGGCCTGGCGATCGGACTGAGCTCAAATGGCAAAAACCCCAGCGCGGCCAACGACGAAGCAGTCGGGATCGAAGACGCATTCCCCACGCCCTGCTCACCCTGACCCCCGCGGGGCATGGGGGCCCGAGCCCGGGGGCATTGCCTATTTGCGTCGCGCCAGCGTGCGGGCCGCAAATCGGCACTGGCCCCAGAATCGGGATCTAAAGCTAAAGCGGTGGCAAGATTAACGGGCGGGGGGTTCTTCTCATCGAGTCCCTGCGCTTCGCGATCGACCGCCCAGGGTTCCATGCAGCTTTGGAGTTCTCTCCAATCGCTTGGATGATACTGCGTTTGATGACGAGCTCCACCACGTCCTCGTGCACTGAGAGAAAGTCGCCCCGGTTCAAACCATCCTTTTGGGCGCGCGCCCAGATCACGCACACGGCGTCGTCGACCCACTGGAATACGAGCCCGAACTCGCCAGCATACTTCACATTGATCTTCTCCCTCGCGATCCACCTGAGCAGCTCCAGGGCCAATGGACGCTGCTTCGCGCATGTCATTTTGAGGGAGATCATCTGCCTGAAAATGCCCGGTACCTCGGTGGCGTTCTGGACCTTGCCAGTGGCGAGCCACCTGAGGAACGGGTTCCCCCCAGAGCACAATGGGCAACGCAATCCGCGCCCAAGAGCACCCGGAAAGACAATCATCAAGCCACTTCGGGGCCTGTATTTTTGGGATGCTCCGTCCTCGGTGCAGGGCGCACGAGGGCCCCACAGGACATTATTTCACTGGGGATCTGACGTGCTACCCATCGGGGCCACAGGGGCAGCAGGTTTGGGCAAGGACGGTCTCACATGCCGAATCGATTGGTGGCCCTTACTAAAAGAAACACGAAATGCCCCCCCTGTGCTCCAGGTGATCGCTTTCGCCACTCATCCGGGTACCCTTTCAGCTGCTCCCGGTCAGGGTTTTGCCGCTTGCACGCGATGATGGCTTTGAATAGCCTGGGGTCCACCGGCAACTCTGGGTCCTCGGGCTCCAAGGCAACGTGAGCGCTCTTAGGCGAGCGGTAAGCATCGCGCATCGAACTCCAATACATCGACCCCATGACGACAGTCGTGTCCCCGTCGAACTGGCGCTTGTAGTCTGCAGCGACTTTCTCCTTGGCGCTGACGGGCCCTACGCCGTCCCCCCAGTGCACCTTCGTCAATGTCAGGTCATCCTGGCTCCATCCCTTCATGTTGTCTTTCAGCTTTTTGGCGACTGCCTTGTCCACGGTCGGGTAGCTCTTCGGCAACTTCTTCGGCGGCTTCTGCACGGGGGCCCCCTCGATCAGACGACGCTTTGGCGCCATCGCGAGAGCCGACCTCTTTGGGAAGAGCGGGCCGCTCAACGCTACACGAAGAATCTCTGGCCCGTTCCCTGGGGCCTCGTCCCGGTCTTGAACCAAAACGGCCACGGGGACGATCTCATGTCTGTGCCCTGCTTTGCCACGATGAACCCTACGAGCCCTATGAGCCCTATGAGCCCTGTGAGCCCTATGAGCCCTATGAGCCTTACGAGCCCTGTCAGCCCTATAAGCCCCATGAGCCAGCCTTAGCCCTATGAGCCCTATGAGCCCTATGAGCCCTCCGAGCCCTATGAGCCCTATGAGCCCCATGAGCCCTATGAGCCTATGAGCCCTAGGAGCCCCATGAGCCCTATGAGCCCAGTGAGCCCTACGAGCACCGTGAGCCCTATGAGCCCTATGAGCCCTATGAGCCCCTTGAACCGTATGAGCCCTATGAGCCCTATGAGCCCTATGAGCCCTATGAGCCCGATGAGCACTATGAGCCCTATGAACCCTATGAACCCTATGACCCCTCTGAGCCCTATGAGCCCTAAGAGCCCTATGAGCCCTATGAGCCTTATGAGCCCTATGAGCCCTATGAGCCCTATGAGCCCTATGAGCCCTATGAGCCCGATGAACCCTGTGAGCCCTGGGAGCCCTATGAGCCCTATGACCCCTATGAGCCCTATGGGCCCTATGAGCCCTATGCGCCTTACGAGCCCCATGGGCCCTATCAGCCCTATGAGCCCTCTGAGGCCCATGAGATCCTAATGAGGCCTATGAGCCCTATGGGCCCCATGAGCCCTATGAGCACAATGAGCCCTCTGAGCCCTATGACCCCTGTGAGCCTTATGAGCCCTATTTCCTGCGCGAGAGTAGGCCACAGAAACAAGGGCCCCGACGGCATATTAGCCCAACGCATTCCGGGGATGCGGAATTTGTGCCCCCCCCCCTCTCCGGACAGGAACTCCAAGCCACCTGAAGGTCAGTGACCCTCCTGGGGCTCCACTAGGCGCCTCTTGGTCACCAGCAGGGCCGGCGGCAACGGGCTGCGGAGGACACCTGGAAACCACCTGGATGTTTTGCGCAGCGCACGAAGTGTGGGGAGTGACAACCACCACCTAAGCAACAATTTGGGCGCAATTTTGTTGTTAGGTGACTCCCCTCTCCGCGGCCCTTGGAAGGCGCCGCGCGCGGGCCTCGGTAGCCACGGGGAGGGGGTCACCTAAACAGCAAAATTGGCCCAATTCTTGTCCTCAGGTGACTCCTCCCCTTGGGCCCGGGGCCTCCTGGGTGGGGCCCAGGGCAGGCCGGGGGCCTGCCGGGCGGCGGCAAGCTTCAGACGCGCTCTTCACCGAGGCGACGGTTGTTCGGAGGTTACTGAGGTCTCAGATCGCGCGCTGGGCATTTTCCCTGCAGGGCGGGACGCGGTGCCTGGCTCCCTGCGCCCTTTTCCCGGAGGGCGGGACGTGGGCGCAAGCGTGCGAATGCTGCGCGTTCCGGAGAGGCGTTCCTGGAACGAGCATCCCGGGCCCTGTCCCCGCATGGCGGGATGTGGTGTCTGGGCCTCCAGCGCCCTTCCCCCGCAGCGCAGGATGCGGGCGCAGGGCAGGCTGCGCCACGCGTTTCGACTACCTGGAAAGCGAAGGCACGGGAAAGCAGGAGAAGGCAGAGATGACTACCTGATGACACCAGAAGCTAGGCGATGCGAGGGCATGCGGAACCGCAATAAGCCCGGCACGCACGGCCGACCCCGACCAACGGCACCACCATATGCCAGCAAGCTGTGGGAGGCACCGAAACAATGTTTGGCCCCAACACACGAAGCAAATTCCTACAAACGCACGTACGGAAGCCCGGAGCGCAAGCGCTGTTTGGGGAATCGCGAAATCATAACCAAACTCAGGTCGTATGAATGTTTTTGGGGCCGTCAGTGTCGAAACAGTCCCTGAACCTGCCGGATGCGTCGCATGGCGGCTGCCTCGCCAGCGCTTGCAGCAACAACAGCGGAAAACTCTGTTGGTTCCCCGTATGCTGCCACGGCGTCCGGTGTGATAACAAAAGCAGCCCCCGCCCCAGAGGCGATTTCAAGGTTGAAGAAATGATTCATTTTGTGTGCCTAGCCTCTGACGACAGTGCACGCGCGAGCTGCCCCATACATTTCTAAGTCCATCCTGAAGGTCTTGTTCACACCTCTGCGCTCGCAGAAGTTCTCAGCCGCGGCGCCGTGGGCCATGCCCTGGATAGCATCGAAAGCCTTCCCCGTGTGCTTGAAGAGCCACTCCCCACCAAGGACGTGAAGCCTAAAAAACTCGAACTGTTCATCATCATCCCCCAACAACTCTGCTCCAACCTCATCCAACGCACGCATGCCTAATTCAATGAACTCGTCATCGAACTCCTCTTCCGAAGATCCAGGGCCCTCCTCCTCGTCGGCGCTGTCCCCACCTGGCCCGGCCAGCTCTTGGAACCAAGGGTGTGCAATTATTGTTTTTTTCCCTGTGCTTTCGCGCTCTCCGCGCGCCCTTGCGCGCCGCGCGCGTTGCCGCAGCGGCCTCGGGCAAGGTATCGATGTAAGTCTGCAGCAGCACCCCGTCCCCAGAGCTCTGGACGAACATGTTGCCCAGGTGCCGAACCCCGAAACGAACCCGGATGTTCGCTTTCGCAACATCGGGCATGTGCCCAGCGTGCGTCAATTCTGCGTAGTTACAATAATAACGTACCGTGGCAGTTTCATCCCCGATCGCACTCCAATTCCTAGCGTTTACAACGCGTGCGGGGCGGTATGTGTGGGTCTCGGCGTACAGACGGCATACAGCTAAGTATGGGTGCGGTTTTTGCTGGAGATACATGAACTGCCACACGTGCTCCTCGCCATCATGTTGGAAAACAAACGCGGAATCGCGAAAATGTTCCCTGTGCGGAGCAATCAATCGAACCCAGTCTGGCATTTGCGGGTGAGTATCTGGCATGTCGATTTCCTGCGTATCCATGTTTGCTGAGCGGGCGGCACTTGTTGGCATTGGAACTTCGAGGGCATCCCGTCGCAGAGCGTGTAGACGCTGGCCTCTGTAGCGGGATTCGCCCAGTAGCCTCGCCCATCAGTTGAGATCCGAGTCTTGGAAGCAAGCCTCTTGCATAGTCATTGGATTGTTAGACGCCGCTTCCTTCTCCACCTCGGCTATGAGTTCGTCTCGTCTTGCGCGCAAGGTTTCCAAGTCCCCCTCAATGCGCGCCCACTCTTCTTTCGCACGTGTCCGGGCCCTGACCTCATACACCCGGTGAACCTCGTCGCTCTTGTCATTGTAAAACCTCGCATGCTTTCTGAAAATCATCCTCTCGATAAGTGGTGGCAGGGTGCGATTTTCAAACCTTGCGCTGTTTTTCAGAGTGTCCACGAGCTCTTTCAAATACAACTGCCTCCCACCACACTTGTCGGGGTTCTTTCGTTTTATCTGGAGCATTGCTTTATATACATTCTCCAGCTGTTTTTCAATTTTTGATACGTGCGGCAGAAGCCTGTTGAACATCAGGACCAAAGATCGCGTGACAAGCGTTTCCAAAGTGTATTCGGGGTGCAACCGGTGCAAAACAGATAGACTCGCGTGTTGCTGCTCTGTCACAGTTGTGCACCATGACACCTCCGACAACAGCTTTACGAAACTGACCAGCTGGCCAAACGCATATCCACTGCGGAGCAGAGACCACAACTGTCGAGTAAAGGGCTCGTCCGGCTCGTCGGCCTCAGCCCAGAGGTCCCTGAGGTTCTGCGCAACATCGCCTCTGGTTAAACTCCATGGGGGACGACTTGCTGGTTCCAACACTCGTTTCCACAATTGGTGGTAACAAGAATGCGCGGCTACAATGCAATCGGATTTGAGGTATTCCAAAGGGACCCCAGCGACGCCTGCGATCATCCCCCACACGTCGTCAGACATAGTGACTATTGAAAGTAATGCCCGCGAGGTTTTGTCCCATATTTCGCCATACTTCTGGGCGACGCGGGGGTCCTTCAAGAGAACGCCCATTGCTGCATCAGATACGCGAGAAACAATGGAGCACTCAGCCATGAACACCATCCGATCTTCCTTTAAACGTTTGAACCCCCCAAGATAGTACATCCCAGCGCCTATGTCGCCTTCGATATACAGAACGAACTCTCGCAAACCAAGAAGGCACGCTAATACTATTGATTTCGCTGACGGCCCCAACGTGAGCCATCTGGAATCGCTGAACCGTTTGAATTTCCAGACAATGAGAAGAGCACCCTGCACCATCCCGATCAGGTCCGGGGCCCCTGCGACAGACTCATTGAGGACAATGTGACCATCAAGGAATCGATACCCCAACGTGTCAACAAACAAGGAGACAGTATCTTCGTGGAGCCCCAACGTAAGGTAAGTCTCACGACGCACCGCCTTTTCGTCATTTGTCATATCGTGTGAGAAAACAATACTCTCTGCGATCCACTGCCCCACGTACCGACTCAAGAGCTAAAATCCGTTGCGGAGGCTCTCCACGGCCACGTAGGAATCCCGCAGAAGCTCCTTGGACTCGAACCTCCGAACAATTGCGCTGCTGTCACAGCCCCCCCGACCACTCCCCTGCTTCGAGGGCTCAGGGGGCGAAGAGGGAAACGGAGGGAGATACAGAAGGTAGGAAGCGAAGGATTGCAGGGGCGAGATCGATATGAAAAAAACTACGGGCGAAAAAAAAAGGAAAGGAGAGCAGGGGGCTGGGGCGGTTTACAGATGCGCCGGGCGGCGGCGTGGAAACATAAAACCGAAGCCCCGCTAAACTGCGCAGAATCTGTTGGGGATCGTTCCCGAATCGCTTCCCTAGCAAAGACCTGTAAAAACCAGACGGGGCTAACGCGGTCAGAGCTCGAAAATGATTTTTCTGGGGACTGGGAGGGGGCTGTGACGGCAAAGCGACTGCCTCGCCAAACCTCCAGAACAAAGACCATCTGAAGGCGTTGTGGGCAGCATGCGCCGCGCAGACAACGAATACCAAGAAGGTCATTG